GTAAAGAATTCAAGATTTGAAGTTCAATCACACTGCAAGGATAAATTTCGCAATCCCTTTCTGTGATTGATTATGTTAATAGTCAATATAATTATTTAGTAAAGATCCTAGGTCAAGTTCTCTGAATAAGTAAAAAAATTATTGCCTAGGATTTGACTACTTTTCCAACATTATGTATACTATGGATTCATATAACTGTCTATCAGTAAATTATATGGGGAAAAAAATAAAAAAAACACTATATGCACAAACGTAAAGTGTGTAATAATTGTATTATCTTTGACTTGATATTATGAAATGATCCATGTGCATCAGAGTCCTCCAACCGTTGAAACTAATGTAGAAGAATTAATGCATATAATCGAAGAGAGATACAACTCAGTATACTGGCTGAAAAAAGTAAGATAAAGTAATGTTGGCGACTAACGTAACTTATTATCGTGCTTCAGGCATTGAAATGGTCACATGGTTTAATGAAGTTGCTGCAGTTGTGCGGGTTGAACTTTCAGCAGCATATAAATCTCTTTCTGTGAAAAAACCAGGTTGTTTAGCTTGAGGCAACACACCTTCATTCCCCAACATCAATACTAGTGAAGACATGCTTGGCCTATCTTCTGGACATTGTTGAACGCATAACAGTCCCACATGAATTGATCGCTGCACTTCTGATAAATAGTCTGAGATGCCAAGGGAAGCATCGACTAATTCCAAAGATCTACCTTCTCTATAAAGCATCCATGCCTGCACTAATTGAACTCATTTAAGAGGACAATTATTTGAATCCAAGTGCCAAAAGGACTAACTTGTTGCAGTGAACATAGAAATATATATTGTACTTACATGTCCAAGAAGGTTATGGTGATGATCACGGTGAGAAAATCCTCTGTTTCTTTTTCCACTCACAATCTCAAGCACTAGAACACCAAAGCTAAATATATCTGATTTTACTGAGAATAGGCCATCTATTGCGTATTCTGGTGACATATAACCGCTACATGGAAAAAATTGCTAGGAATTTAAGTGGCTGGGCAATCAATAGAGGAGTATTTATTATATTATGGCACTGAGATTCTTACTACGTTCCAACTACTCTACTTGTGTTTGCTTCAGTCTCGTTTCCTCCAAAAATTCTAGCCATGCCAAAGTCTGATATCTTTGGGTTCATGTCAGAGTCTAGCAAAATGTTGCTGACTTTGAGGTCTCTATGGATGATTCTGAGACGGGAGTCTTGATGAAGATACATAAGGCCCCTGGCAATGCCATTTATAATGTGGAAGCGCTTTGACCAATCAAGCACTGTACTGCCAATTGGATCTGCCAAAAGTTTTTCTTTGTCATGAGAATAATATGTCCGTTGGATAGTTAGAAGTCCATTTCCTATGTATAACTTGTTGGATTTTGGGGCTTCAATCAATGACTTCCGGGCTCAGATNTCAATGACTTCCGGGCTCAGATTAAACCAAAGTCGACACCACCATGCACAAACCGAATCTCAAACTCACTTCCAACCGGTTGCTACGGTTTGCCCACTAAGGACGGTCACGGGTTGCCCACAAAGGACGGGTGTGTAGGATGCAATAGCCTCAATCTTCAACCACAAAGGAACGAAGAAGAAAGGAGAAGACAAGCTCAAAAAACCGGAAGCAAGAAGAAGGTGGAATGCTCTCTTTCAAAACTCACGGTTATTCTCTTTTCACACACACTCACACAACATAGAAACTGTAGCATAAATAGGTAAATAATGGGCTTTTAGGTTAATCAATTTAGAGGCCCAAAAGGTAACATCTTAGTGGGCTATCAACCAAAAAAGCCTTCCAAGGTATTGGGTTGGGCCACGAGCAACACTAATCTAATTAGGTTGCTTCAAGTGGCCCAAGTGAATTACGGGATAGGTTTAAACAATTGTGGTGTCGACGTTTCACTTCATTCATCGGCCGAGGCCTCTGAAGTATAATTCCAACAAAATCGATTTAACATCATNACTTCATTCATCGGCCGAGGCCTCTGAAGTATAATTCCAACAAAACCGATTTAACATCATCGCCCGGATTTATTGGGCATCAAAACCCAACATAACTGAATATCGTCAAGTATTAGTTGCATGAAACTACGCCCTTGTTTTGGAAAACTGAGTTCATAGAAAGAAGGAGCTCAAACAAGGGCTGTATTTTATATTTGCTTCGAAAATCTTTGCTTATGGATTTGAAAAATGTCTATTAATATCCCTTATGTCATTATGTATAACTCTTACTCTAGATAGAATTTTCTTTGAACTGATTGTACGAGATGTATATTTCTTACCAAATAGAATGAAGTCCAGACTTCTGTTAGGCATGTACTCATAAATCAACATCTTTTCCTCCCTGTGAATGCAGCATCCTAGAAGCTTCACAAGATTTCGATGCTGAAGTTTAGCGATACAGATAACTTCATTCTTGAACTCAACAAGTCCTTGGTGGGAAGTTCTTGATAGCCGTTTGACAGCAATTTCCTGCCCCTCTTCCAGCACGCCCTGTTTCAGAACATGTGTATGTAAATGTCAGTCATTTTGCTAAATTGCTATTTACTTTTCACGTGAGATTTAGTGAAACATTGATGCCTTTATGTGTATTAATGATCTCCCTGCACATGCAAAATAAGAGTAAAAGTTAATGAAACAAGTAAAACAAAGATGTATATAGAAAGCTCATTTTGCAGTAAGAGAAAAAAATGTTTATCTTTATTTTGAAAAACATTTATAAAAATTAGTCCCCCCCGCCCCCACCCCCGCCCCCAATCTGCAAAATGATTATATGTACGTTGAGTAAGCGTCAATCCCCACTGTAGTGCCTGGCTGTCTGCCCTCTTATATCCAAACAAAAAACTGCCCATTACCTTGTAAACAGGTCCAAACCCACCCTCTCCAAGCTTACTGTTTATTGAAAAATTATCAGTAGCTTTAGTTATTGCACGCAAGTCAAACAGTCGTAGCTCTATGCTTTCGTTGTGATTTTCATCATTGAGATCACCCGTATATTTATATCCAGGCCTGCCTGAAACATAAAAGATAAAAGGGATCTAACTTAATAATGAAAAGCAAAAGATGGCTTCCATTTACATAAGTTGAAGACCATATTTAAAGAATATACATGTAGGCCTATCTAACATATTAAGCTTTTATATTAAGTTTTTCAACATGATATTAGAGACAGCAAATGTCCTGGGTTTTAATCTCATCTCCACCTATTTAAAATAAATCGTCTACATGTTAGGCTTTGATGGAAAAATGAAAATGTGGCTACATAAGAGAGGACATGTTAAGGATCATATTTAATTGATAAAGATGTGATCATATCTTAACAATATACATGTGGCTCTCTTTGACAGTTTAAAATTTTAGATCAAATGATTTAACGACATACATAAGCTTGGTTTTTCCAAGTTTATGTTTGGTATACAGTATTGAACAGGACTACACATTACGACAAATGAATTGACTCATTTTTCTTCCTCAATCCTATTAGGTGTGGTCAATTTTAATATAACGAACGTCACAAAAGAAAAAAAAAAACATTTTGGTATATAATTGTAGATTTTGCCTACCTCCTATTCTCTGCCTGTGGTTACTCTTCTTCCTTTTTCGCAGATAAAGCATTAAACTCAGACAAAGAAAAACCATTCCCGTCAACAGTGACAAACTTACTTCAAGAATCTCTCTTTTTCTTCCTTTTAGCTCTGCAAAATTTTATATGCAAATGAAAAATGGAAGGTTTCTTACTGATGAAATGAACTGTCAAAGTAATGAACACACAGATCATCTTTAAAGGAAAATAAGACTACAATAAACATATGTTGAATTATAAAAAGCTTTTTGTTTATTGAATTCTAACCTAGTTCAGAAGAAGCCATTCTAATGTAGATATCATCTCCGTCTTCAGATAGTTTTTTTATGTTAATCAGTTCTTCAAACCAAAGTAGGCATCCACTTCCCCCTTTGCTTTTATCTAAGTTAGTGTAAGCCGTACAAGAGCAATTCTTCAAGCACACTACCTTGCATTCCTCAAGTGTCATACTCACATAAAATCTGGAATATCGTGTGTCTGGTAACCTAATACCAGCATATTTGAGAAATACATCTCCACTTGTACAACTTAAGGGAGTTCTGCGAACGCACCCATTCGACCAATTTGTCCCGTTCCAACCATGTGGATCTTTAGGCAAAAATCTATCTAAACATTCACAGACCGGAGAATTTAAAACATTGCAACTACCATATGCACCACACAATCTATACGTGTCACAATTATCAGCTGGAGAAGTAATGTATACCACCCACCCCTGCTTATCAACCCAGGTCCAGAGCTGTGAAACTGCGCCCACAGGGCTCTCACTCAATGTAACCCTTGAAATTATTGATCTGCTAAGGAACTCATAAGTAATGTATGCCTCATTTTTGTTTAGAACTAATGGTAAAAAGGGTTTTTTCCTGAAGTTTGGTGTCCCACTAAATTTGAGTCCATTCCAAGTTCCACTTTTGTAAAACACATCCGAACCTCTTTCGATGACAAATTGTGGATAACCAGTGGGATCAAAGTGAAATGCAAAATCTCCTGGAGATGGATCATCTTTGCTCTTCCATGATGATAGATACACTTCATGACCAGTTTTGAAGTTCCAACCAAACTTCATTCCTGCTAATAATGTATCAGTTGGATAATTAAAACTCTCCCAGAGGAAATTCGCTGCACCACCATCATTTGCATCTTTCACAACAAGGTTTCCCGAGTCAAGCAACTTTGCGACTGGAGTTTTCACAGGTCGTGATTTGTTAGAAGACCATATGATGACACCACCAGTATCATTTTGCAGAACTAGAAGTCCTGGCTCGACAAGCTTCAAGAGTCCTGATCTGTTTGTAAGTGGAACATCTCTGTTGGCAACCCATACCACCGTCATAACTGTTATCTTCTTGTACCACATGCCCACGTATC